TTTTTTTTTTTGTGGAACCGGGGACTGATCTCAGGCCCTTGCACTTGCCAGGGAAGTGTTTATTCCACTGAGCCATCTCCCCAGCCCCCTAGGCCCTCATGTTTTGCTTTATTTCTTGAGAGAGTCTCAATATGCAGTTCAGGCCAGTTCTTTTTTTTTTGTAATTAGGACAGGATGTACAGGGTCTCACTGCGTAGATCGGACTCAAAGTGATACACCTGTTAATAGCCTCCCAAGAGCTGAGATTACAGGCATGCACCACCACACCCAGTCTCCATCCGGGTCTCAGCACACCCTGGGGGTGGGGCTGGCACTGCAGGCCTGGGGATGCAACCCCTGGCCCCTGCGCCTGCTTGCAGAGGCTGTAATCTGCTGAGCTATTTGTCCGACCCTTCAGGGCAGTATTGAACTCTGTATGTAGTCCAGGCTGGGCCTGGACTCACAGCACAGCGGTCCTCCTGCCTCGGCCTCCTGAGCACTGGGATTACAGGCTGTGCCCCACACCTGACTTGCAGACTGCTGAGGGCGAAAGGAGTGAGCCTGGAGACTTGGCTCAGGGGCCTTCCGAACTGCTACAGGAGAGAAAAAAGTTACCAGGCAAACAAGACAACAGCCAAGCCCTCTGGGGCAGTTTTCAAAGGTTTAATATATAAATTTGGAAAACTGGAAACGAAGAAAAAAAAAACCCAAAACAGTGGAAACCTGAAGTCAAAACTCCCAAGCTCATGGCAAAAGCCAAACAACAGATCCCAAGATAGACAGAAAGCAAAACCAGGATAAGTAAGCAAGAAATCTACGTGTAGGTAAATCTAGAGAAGCTGGGCGTGGTGGCCAAGCCTGTAATCCCAGCTCTTGGGAGGCTGAGGCAGGAAGGTCACAGGCGAGAGGCCTGCCTGAGCACCTGAGAGCCGACTCAGAGGAAGAGGAAGCGGCGATGCAGCTCCTGGTCAAGCACTTGCCTGGCCTGCCCAAGGCCCCAGGGCTGGCCTCCAGCACTCCAAGGAAAATGGAGGCAAAGGGGATAAAAAGCCCTGGAAAGAGTTATCTGTTTTGTTGTTTTGAAACCTTCTAATAGGCCTTGGGAGATGGCTCAGTGGGATAAGCGCCTGTCTAATAAGCACAAGGGCCTGAGTTCTATCCCCAGTTTCGCCCAAGAGAACGCGCAAAAAGCCTTTCAGCCTTGTTAATTTGTTTCATTTATACTAGGCAGCGACCTCTTAGTTCACTGAAAAGGAAGTTTTGTGCTGTTACCTGCTTGTCCCCTTCAGAGCACCTCTTCTGTCTGTGGCTTGCACCCCGAGAACACTGGGGCCGTTCTTTTAAGGTTACGATACACAGGTATTAATGATCATTACTCTCTAATTATTTTGTTATGAAATTTTGGGACTTTTTCATAGATATAAAAAGAACGCTTTTAACTGTTTTCTTTATTAACCTCTACTTGTATTACATTAAAATTTAAAAAGGGCTGGGGTTGGCCATTAGAGAAATGCAAAGCAGAACAGCACGGAGGGAGGCTGGGGAGATGGCTCAGTTGAATAAGCGCTTGTCTGACAAGCACAAGAGCCTGAGTTCAATCCCAGCTCTGCAAAAAATGGGCTGGAGAGATGGCTCAGTGATCTAAAGCACCTACTTAGAACAAGCTTGGCAAAGCACAGGGACCACGGTTC